CGTTGTAAATCATGTGCTCTTGCATTTATTAAATTTCTTAGTCTTCTATCTGCTGTTCTTACATTTCCTTTCTGATTCCTAATTCTGAGCATTTGTGTTGTCTCTTGCTTTCTCAAATTAGACTGGCTGATCTGTCTTTGTTGTTGTTTTGATTCCTGCCCCAGTTACACCCCCTCCCCCATCCATATGCACACGCACACACGTGTGTGTATATACACGCACCAGAATCACCTCTAGGTTGCTAATGTTATTCTGTTCCCTAATCCATTAATTTCTGCTCCCATAGTTAACACTCCTCTCTCCTGTTTTCCTTGTGGTTGTTAGGTGCCGTCGAGTCGGTTCCGACTCATAGCGACCCTGCGTACAGCAGAACAAAAGACCACTCAGTCCCGAACCACCCTCACAGTTGTGCTTGAGTCCATGGCCGGGGCCTATTTTCCTTAAGTTTTGACTTTTACTGACTTTTCAGCTTTTTTTTTTCTTCTCTAAATTCTAAAGTCAAATGTTTAGTGCATTTATTTTTTTTCTTTTGAATCTGGTAATGAAACCATTAAAGCTCTGGATTTCCCTCCCAAGAATAATAATTCAGACCATTTTGAATGTATTTCGATCTGTTCTTCCTAGTTATCTTCTAAATATTGTACATAATCATGTTTTTTAATTCTTCTTTGACCTGAGATGATGTAAGAATTTCTAGCTATTTGACATTTGGGGGCATAGGGTTGTTCTTTCATTATTAAAATCTACTTTTATTGCTTTCAGCTCAAAGTATAGGGCCTATATTATTTATGCTTCTTGCAATTTATTCTAAGTTTATTTGTAGCTTAAATAAATATAACCAGCTTTTTTTTTTTTCTCTCTCCTTATGTTCGGTGCCTTCTTAGCAAAAGACGTTATCTTTGTTTGTTGGGTATAATATTTAATACATCTGGTCAGTCAACTTTTTAAATTAGGTTATTCAGATCCTCTGTATTTTTTTTGTCTGTTTAATCAATCACTGTACTAAGATTTACTACTGACTGTTGCCTTCAGATTTTCCAGCATTTATGCGTTATCCAATTTCAGTACTGTGCATCTTGATAAAATTTCTCAAGTACCATGCCTTCATAGTGGGCTGTATTTATCATCAATCTAATCATGCCTTTCCTGGCATCAATTATACCAACATGAATAGATTCTCCCAGCCCCCTTCTGTGTGCTTTCTGATGTTGAAGTCCTGGCTTTCCCAGGAAGACTTACCAGCCTGAGGGGTGTGGGTGTGGGCCAGGCCTGTGGCTCTGTTGTCTTATTGCTGTTGTTAAGTACCATCAAGTCAGTTCTAACTCATGCTAAGTGCCCTCTACTGGTGGTAGTGGTGGTGGTGTATATGCCATGGAGTTGGTTCTGACTCATAGCGACCCTGTATAGGGTTTCTGAGGCTGTAAATCTTTATAGGGGCAGAAAGCCTTATCTTTCTCTTGTGGAACAGCTGGTAGGTGGTATAGGACTGCTGTCCTTGAAGTTAGCAGCTTGATGCACAACCACTATGCTACCAGAGCTCCTGCTCATAGGGAGCCTGTACAGAGTTTCCAAGGAGCGGCTGGTGAGTTTGAACCACTGACCTTGTGGTTCATTGCTTTATCCCACAGTGTCACACCAGGACTCCTAGCCACCCTGTCAGGGTTTCCAAGGAGCAGTTGTTCACCTTTCAAACAAACCTTGCAGTCCAATGGTTCTCCTATAGCTCCACACCAAGCTTCCTCCCTGGGTCACTAGCCAGCTCCAGCCCCTAGATCTGTTGTTCTGGTATGGGAGTGCACCCATTCTCACCCTCCTTTTCCAACTTGTTTCTCCCCATTTACATAAACTTGCTGGCCCCTGAAATTCCTATCCAATCTTTCCAGCTCTTGTCAATTTGAGGATGGTGGATTAGGGAGTGGCACCGAGCAGGCCTCTGCCAGCAATAGCACAAAACACTGGACAAAGCAGGTACAGGGGATGGTCCTAGAACTCTGAAATACACATAAAGGAATATTTATAAGTATTGAAGGCTTACTGTTAATAGAATTCATAGCAGATGCAAGAAAAATGGCGATTGTTGACTGGCGATTGCAGGCAGATGCCAGGCAAAGCCTTCTTGAGAAGGGCATCGCCATCCTAAAAAGGGCGCCGCCATTTTGAGAAGGGCGCTGCCATCTTGAGAAGGGCGCTGCCATCTTGAGAAGGGCGTCACCATCCTGAAAAGGGCACCGCCATCTTGAGAAAGGTGTCGCCATCTTGAGAAAGGTATCGCCATCTTGAGTGGGTTACAGCAAATTCAGCAGCAGAACCCTAACCATCAGGGTTAAAGGTGTGAGCAATCTTGCATCCACTCAGCTCATTTCCCTCTCACTGCCAGCGCACCTCCACTCTGGTGACTAGAGGAAGTGCCTGAGCAAGTGGACAACCCCCACCCCCAGAGGGTTCTACTAAGCATATGCTTGGATCTGCTCAGCTGTGAACTGTTTAACACTAGGAGAAACAACCTGGACTGTTTTGCTGCAGTTTTTGTTTTGTTTTTTTACCTAAAGGAGCTCGGGTAACGTAGTGGTTACGAATTGGGCTGCGAACCGCAAGGTCAACAGTTTGAAACTACCAGCTGCTCCCACGGGAGAAAGAAGAGGCTTTCTGCTCCTGTAAAGATTTACAGCCTCAGAAACCTTGTTCAGGGTCGCTATGGGTCGTAACCGACTCCATGGCACATAACAACAACAACCTTGGGGGTACTCTTTCTCTCCCTACATTATCCAAGATGAGACAGCAATTGCGGCCATATAGACAAGTTACAATCACACCCTATAAAATCCTACCATCCAGGTAATAGCCAATACCAGCTGCTCTGCACTACATAGAGAGCCAACACTTGATAAAATTACTTTCAGTTGAGTATTGTCAATTTGAGTTCATGTAGCAGGGATGGGGAACCTTTCTTCTGCCAAGGGCCATTTGAATATTTACAGTATCACTTAATATAAATTTATGTTCCTATGAAAAAAAACTAGATTTATTGAATTTCGAGTCCCACCTGGGGTTGCCTTGGCAGAGTCAGACGAAAGGATTTCTTAGGCCTTATATGACCCGTGGGATGGACGTTCCCCACCCCTGCTGTATAGATTGAGCTTAAAAGAACATGGTGCTTAAAATAGGCAGTCTGTGCTCATTAAGCTAACGTATTGTTTGGTTTTAGATTTCAGGGGATAGTTATGATTTGTTTAAGGTTTAAAGTTGACCTTGAGGCAGTCCATTCAGGGTTTCATTCAGTATCCATAGCAGCAGAAAGTCTGAAGTCTGTGAGAATCGGAAACTCTATTCTGCATTTTCTCCCCCTTTTTGTCAGGATTCTTACATAGAACAGAACAGATCGTGAGGATGATGAGGGACTCTTCTGGAACTCAGATTGCATGGCTCCCAGGAAAAATGTATGATGTCAAGGGAGCTTGTAGGCAGGCATGGTGGGAATGGTTATGCTACACAAATGCAACTGGGAATCTGGGCTCTGTTTCCTCCCTTGGAAAGCTTGTTTATTAACATTGGAGTATGGGCGAGTGCCCTCTGTCACGGGTGGTGGTTAGTAGTTGCCATCGAGTTGGCTTTGATTCATGGCAACCCTGTGTGTACTACAGGATGAAACAATGTCCAGTTCACAGTGTGGCCACAGTGCATTTTGAATGTTTTCCAACCAGGGCCTGGGGAGCTCATCTTTCAGGACTATAGTGGACAACATTCTGTTGTGAAGTATAGGGCTTGCATGGGCTAATTTTTGGAAGTAGGTTGCCGGGTCATTTTTCCTGGTCTCTCTTAGATTGGAAGAAACCTGTCCACCATGGGTGCCATGACCCTATTGGTATTTGAAGTACCGGTGGCAAATCTTCCAGCGTCATAGCAACACACAAGCTACCTCGTACAGCAATGTGATAGACAAGTGGTCGAGTTAGCCCTTGTTGTTGTTAGGTGCCTTAGAGTCAGTTCTGACTCATAGCGACCCTGAATAGAGCTTCTGAACCGCCAACCTTATGGTTAGCAGTCCAGTGCTTATCCTTCAGTGCCACACTCCAGAGTTACCTCTGTTATTGTTGTTAAGTGCTGTCGAGTCAGTTCTGACTCTTACCAGCCCTGTATAGGGCTTCTGAGAAATGGCTGTTGAGTTTGAACTGTCGACCTTACGGTCTAGTGCTTATCTACAGCACCACACCAGGACTCTTCATTACCTCTCTTGTTGTTAAGTGCTGTCGAGTTGGTTCCAACCCATAGCGACCCTATAGAGGGGTTCTGAGGAGTGTCTGGTGAGCTTGAACTGCCAAGCTTGTGCTTCAAGCCGACATTAGAGGCATGAAATCACAGGGGTAGAATTTTAGAGTTTGAATTCTTTTTCTTGAAACTAGGCAAAGTATAACTGCAGCAATCTGCACATGATTACCTGGCTATTGGTCGGATGGATGTTGTTGTTAAGTGCCATCAAGGCGGTTCCAACTCAGGGCTTCTGAGGAGCAGTGGGTGGGTTTGAAATGCTGACCTTGTGGTCCAAGGTCCAGTGCTGATCCTACAGGGTCACATTTTACATTAACCAGTTCGGTTCTCTTCCCATTATGCCCACATGACACCGCCATGAGGGTGTAGATAGATGTTCCACAGAGAGGGAGAGCTGAGGAGGACTGTGGGAAGGTGGTGGCGGGAGAGACATAGGGGTCTGGGTCTTTGCCCGAGGCTGCCGCTAATGCTGTATTTGGGGCATGGCCGCTGAACTACACTGACCTCACCTCAAGAGGAAACCCAGCTCCCCAGGAATGTAGCAATTGGTGCTGGGGGTCAGAAAGACAGATTCAACTCATTCCTAGCTCTGCAAATACTAAGATCCAGAGAGATGGCTTTGGCTGTGCAAGACCTCTCAGAACAGGGGAGATGGGAGAAGGGGCTGTCATTGCAGTCATGGTCAGAGGGGCTTGTTGGTGGCAAGTATCTGAGGAGTGTTTCTGTGCCCACAGTGAATGGATACCACGCATCAGGGACCCCAGCACACCCTCCAGAGACTGCTCACATGAGTGTCCGAAAATCCACTGGTGATTCCCAGGTAAGGGGTTCTGTTGAGGGATGCAGGGTGGCCATTTTTGCTCAGGGGAGTCTCTTTAAAGGCAAGACACTTACAAGAGTCCAGATGACCACAGTCCGGTTCTGTCCCAGTGGAAGGTGGTTGGTGGTGCTGAGTTCTTCCAGTGAACCCTGCTGGGCAGAGGGTTGTGTGGTCTGTTGGTTTTCTAGAAACTGAGGGTGGCTTGGAACTGGTGGGAGATGGTGGTGGGATTATAAATGTTAAGGCAGGGGTTTCATCCTGCATCTGGACCCCTGATAAATCCTGCGTCTGGACTCCTGGACCCCAGGAGTCTGGATGCCCCCTCCACATTAAGAGTATGGGTGGGGCCAGACCATTTTCCTTTGTTCAACACCCTCTCCTGGACCCAGGCTTTCACCTAGAGTGGAATTTGTTGTTGTTGTTATATGCCGTGGAATCGGTTCCAACTCATAGCGACCCTGCACAGGCTTTCTGAGGCTGTAAATCTTTACGGGAGCAGAAAGCCTCATCTTTCTCCCGCAGAACAGCTGACAGTTTTGAACTTCTGACCTTGTGGCTCGCAGCCCGACTCGTAACCACTACGCTACCAGAGCTTTCCCCTAGAGTCGAATTTAGTAAAAGGTATTGTTGCTGTTGTTGTTAAAGTGCTTTCGAGTTGAGTCACTCTGACTCCTAGTGACCTGAGGGTTTCCGAGGAGAGTGGCTGGTGAATTTGAACCGCCGACCTTGCAGTTCAGACTGACTTTGCAGTCCAGTGCGTTGTCCCACAGTGCCACACCAGGACTCCAGTGACAGGTGTAGGAATATGTTTTAAGATTTCCGGATTGCTTTTGCATTTATTGTTTCTGTTGCTACTTGTGCAGTTGCATGAGGTTGGAGTTAGCATCCTTTCCAGGTTATGGGTGTGAGGTAAACTGTGCAGGGTCACACGATTACTCAGTGGACAGATTGGAGCTTGATGCTAACTAAGCTCCATGGTTTTTCCAGTTGCATTAAAGCTGCATCTAAGAAATTGAGGACTTGTGTTCTTTAATGTAACCAGAAATCATCAGGAAGATATTCTTGACAAAGTTTCCAAACTCCTCCGACCCTTTCTAGGAGTTACAGTGCTAGGCCTCAGAGATGCTGATGGCAACAATGTTGATGATGCTGGTGTTAACAGTAGCTCCTTAATATAGTGGCTTCTATGTGCAGTGAGCTAAATATACGCCGGCAAGAGTGTTACTTCTGCTGCTGCTGTTGTTGTTATTAAGTGCTATCAAGTCGATTCCGACTCATAGCAACCCTGTATAGGGTTTCTGAGGAACTGCTGGTGAGTTTGAACCACCGACCTTGTGGGTCCAGTGCTTATCTTACAGTGCCACACCAGAACCCCTAATGTTGTTTTTAGGTAACTCTAACACTGAGTCGTTCTCTTAGGAGGCTGAGATCAGTTCTGACACTGGAACGGAATTTGGACAGCATTGTAGACCAGGGCTTCGGACTTCCCCTGGTAGAAATGCAGGTCTGGATTCAGGAGGTCTGAGTTTCTGGAAGTCTCTGCTTCAGCAAGTCCCCAGAGGATGCGGATACTGTGGTCTGAGACCCGGCTGTGAACAGTGGGGCTCTAGGGGGCTTTCTACTCCCGTAAAGATTTACACCCTCAGAAACCCTGTACAGGATCGCTATGGGTCACAACTGACTCGATGGCACTTAACAACAACAACAACAACAACAACAAGGGGCGATCAGTAGGTCCCCAGCCTGGGTGTGTGCTCTTTGCGCCCACTCTCAAGTACCCACACTGAGTGTACCCTGGCATTGTGTCCTGCCAAACCCCAAATGACCTTCTCAACACAGTCTTCTTGAAGTGAAACTT